GCAACGATCGTAACTGTCGCACGATCGTTAATGTCGTATAGACCGCGGTCGCACAGCACAGCGGAGGAGACGCGGTCATCCATTGCAAACCCATGCAACACGTGACAGCGCGTGATGGTATTTCGAAAGTCCTATTATTAGGCCGATGTCATAGTTTGCTTCGCTAGCGAATCGCTGGATCCGAGCGTTGCGCCAGCGAATCGAACGTTGCACCAGCGAATCGAACTTTGCACCAGCGAGTCGAACGATGTACCAGCGAGTCGAACTAGGTACCAGCGACTCAATAGTGGCGGGACCCAACGTTCAAAGGAAGCCCGCCACTTTCAAACAGTGTCCACTGTCAAGTCCCGCCACTTTCAAACAGCGTCCACTGTCACGTGACACTGTTTGAAAGTGGCGGGCTTCCTTTGAACGTTGGGTCCCGCCACTATTGAGTCGCTGGTACCTAGTTCGACTCGCTGGTACATCGTTCGACTCGCTGGTGCATCGTTCGATTCGCTGGCGCAAAGTTCGATTCGCTGGTGCAACGTTCGATTCGCTGGCGCAACGCTCGGATCCAGCGATTCGCTAGCGAATCGCTCGATTCGCAAACTATGACATCGGCCTAATGTGGAATAGTAGCTGCGTATTGATCGTGCAACACAGGATCGTAACAGTGGTACGACAGCAACGATCGTAAGTGTCGCACTTCTGACGATCGATACGCATCTAATGCTGTGCGACAGTTACGATCGTTGTTGTCGGACGACCGACTATGCATGTGCCTTCTCACTCTCATGGCCTCGTTAGCCCAGGAAATGGCGAGAGTCAATTTTCAAATGAGCCCCGCCATTTCCAAACAGTGTCGAATCGCTGGTACATCGTTCACACCGCTGGTGCACAGCTCCTATCTCTGCGAATCCAGCGATTACTAGCGAGTCGCTGGATTCGCAAAGTCTGAACCGGCCTCACATGTGGCGTGCGAACTGTGCTCATGGAGCGTTTTCAAAGGTACCTGCAACAACGGTGTACGAATTGGCCGCATTCACCTCGATCATCCCCAAAGGATGAAGTCAGTCACGGAGCCGGCACATTCCGCGTGTTAAGCGCGTCACTGTGTCTCAGAACGAAAGTAGCTATATCTGGCAAGAATTCTTTACACATTGACGCCAATGT